AAAAAGATTGATGTTGAGATGGGAATAAGGACTAGCACAGTGAGTGACTGGAAAAAATTAAAAATGGTGTCCATCGCAAGCCCCTAAAACCATATCAATAAGTGTTTGTATCTTTGGTTCACCCAAAGGAGGGAGCAGGGATTACCAATCTCAGAGTGTATGTTAAAAGAAAAAGCCTTACATTTTAACAAATAAATTAGAGGTGATAACGATTTCAAGACAAGAAAAGGATGGTTGTAGAGTTGGAAAACGCGGTACGGTGTGCGGAAAGCTACAAATATGTGGTGAGAAACTGTCTGCTGAATCAGAATTTGTCGAAGTCTTCAAAAAGACCTTGCAAAACTTACTAGAAGAAGAATTATATAATACTGCTGACCTCTACTCTGGTCCCAAAACAAGAAGACAGTACACCAAGATTCAAGAAGAAAAAGGAAACAGAGACAATTTTAGTCTGCAGTAACGCTACAGGATCTCACAAACTACCTCAAGGATTTATCGGAAAGTTAAAAAAACATAGGGCTTTCAAAAACTTTAAAGACTGTTCTTACCTGTCAGTGTGGTACCGTCATCAAAATAGTGCTTGCATGAGCAGTCTTCTATTCAAAGAGTGGTTTCAGAATCAAATTGTACCAAAGGTTGAAAAACATTTTGCAAAAAATAATATACCGAGAAAGGCAGTCCTGCTATTGGACAACGCACCTTCTCATCCCGACCCAGAAGAAACTGAAAGATGTCGAAATAAAGTGTGGTTTGCCCCTAAATGTTACATCCCTTCATCAGCCTATGGACCAAGGTATTATAGAATTTATAAAACATGTCTATCGACGAAAGTTACTGACGGTGTTGATTGCTGAAATAGATGAAGGAGAAACCGTTACAGAGACTATAAAAAAAGTGGACATGTTAAATTTGGTGATGTGGGTGACCCAAGCATGGGATGACATAAAAACAATCACAATGGTAAGGTGATGGAGGAAGATAAAGCATCTGATGAATGGACGGGAGAGAAACCAGAGGAAGGTACCAATTCTTAGGAAAATTTGAAGATATAAACAAATCATAAAGTCTATGAATTTAAAAAGACCGATGAGTGTACTTTTCGAGAGTCATTTTATAATGGAACTGCGATTGGAAGAACGAGACGTACAAGACTAACAAAAGGTAACAGGAAATGTGGAAGTATGAGAAGTGTATCAAGATCTAAGTTCCTATTCAGGAAAAAAATCTGAGAAATACCGAACAAGCAATAGCCAAAAAGTGGGTGCTCAATAAAGCTAAGGAGAAACAACTAGAACATTGGGAACTTAAAATGTGAGAAGTTTTTTGGAATTGGAAAAGAGCTGATCAGACCGTTCTTTTTGGCATCCTTATCTACCATCACTCCAACTTAACTTTGGCCTAGCTCTTCATCTAATTCCCTCGGGATTTACCAGTAAAATAAGTCATGTAGCTTTCATTTGCTTTGGCTAGATGTCCTGCCCACCACATGGATATAATTTTTATTGCAGTCACTATATCTCTGGCTTCTAATTCTTTATACTTATTGTATAGTTTAAAGTTATATCGACGATGCCAGGGTCCCTGTGACCACGAAGTATGACCAGTAAAGCAGTAGGTAGCTGGGGCATGTACGAGGAGCCACAGAGGACAAATCTCAAAGATGGTCTTACCTAGAAGACCCATAGGAAGTAAAAGACCAGTAAGACCGAGAAGATGGCCAGAAAAGGTTGAGAGTGACATAAAGAAAGTAAGTATCTCGAACTGGACAAGAGAAGATAAGGAAACATAGTTAAAAAGTGGTGAGCTATGCACAAGGAGTCACAGGGGACGAATCCCAAGATGATCTTACCTAAAAGGTTAACAGGGAGTAGAAGACGAGGAAAAGAGAAGACAAAATAGCTACAAGAGGTTGATAATGACTTAAAACAACTAGGTGTCTGGAACTTGATAAGAAAAGATGGAGAAGCATATTTAAAAATTTAGTAAAAAGAAAACTTTAAAGTCTAAACTTTTTATATATAAAATAAATGAAATAAACCATTTCAACACTTCAGCGAAGTATGGCGGCTTTATAAGTAAAAGTAAATGCTTGAAGCTGGTTTACTTGTCTAAAAAACACACTAAAAGAAGTATCTAGTGTAAAGTGGATGTGTAATTAGGAGAATATTCCTTCGTTGGTTTTACATCATGTACACCAATATTAAGAATGAATTTAAAAATATATAATGGACTAGGACGATTTATTCTTCGCTTGGATGATGACATTGTAGAGATATCCAGTAAACTATAATAAAGAGAGCTACAAACTCTTAATGTTCAGCTTGTGTACTATAGTGAACAATAAGAACTCTAGAGAAAACAAACCTTCACATCCAAAATTAAGTATATTTGTCTATCTGAGGAGAGACAGTGACCAAAATTATCATGAGAACAAAGACATTTCCAGAAAATTTTGGTCCTCACTTGTAAGTTCTCACTAGACTATATACTTTTTCATATTCTCTCCCTTCTTTTATACTCAAGAAAGGCATAAACACTTGAAGCAGAAATAGAAAAACGTATGACGCATTCAAAATTTTAGATTAAAGAATATTGGTGTGTGTCTCTCGGAAAAAAAAGACAAATAAAGATATTTAAAGGGCAATGCCAAACATACAGAACTCCGTATGATAATTAACAAGGAGAAGTTGCAGTACCTTCAAGATTATTCACCTGATAATCAAAGGACAAATCAAAACGAAAAGGATATCTTATAGACACCAAAATTGTGTAGATATCTACAAATAGTGTGAAATGAAGCTAACAGAAGTTTTCAGATATGTTCACGTAAGTTCAGTAGAAGTAATCTGTTAGGTTAAAGATGACTTAAGATAAAAGGTATGTATAATTCTGTGTGCGTTTAAAATACTGCTTTTTTGGACTCAAATCATTCTGTGGTATCCCAAAGAGTTCTATCGTGGATAATGTTCAAAAATGACAAAACAGACTTGAAAAGTGTAGTCTGCTGGAGAAATATTTCAGGCCAAAGAACCCAAGGGTTATTACATCAATCGAGGAAAGCTAACAAACCAAGCAGGTTTTACGAAAATACAAAGGAAATTGCTTGAAAATTGTTCGACAATATCATAAATACCTGTAGCAGGTTTTTTTTTAAACCTAATCCTGTAAAAAACTAACCCGAAACGAATAATAGAGTTTATTACAAGTCTATATAAAACCTATCTACGATTCTACGAGACTTCTTTGACATCTGCAATATTAAATCTCGTAAAGCAAAATTAAAAGGTACTTTTTAAACATAAAATTTGTACTCAAAAATTATTAAAATATATAGTTACATTAGTACATTTTCTTAGTTAATCATGATGAAATATTTAGATCATTTTAAAGATTTGTTTTATTAGAGGTTATATATATATATATATATATAATATATATATAAATTATATATATATATATATATTATATATATATATATTATATAATATATATATATATATATATATATATATATATATAAAAGGATCACTCGGACGAGTGGTGGGTTCTTATATCGGTCTCTAGGTGGAGAAATAAAAGACAAAGTTAATAGGCTACTTTATCTATTTTGAAGACGTTTCGCTTTCGTTTTAATTTTTACCTTAAAAAGATATGTAGCAGTCAATGTTATTAACAAACATGTGAATGAAACTAAGTAAATGGACATAAGTTATAAGGACTTAGTTTCATTCACATGTTTGTTAATAATATTGACTGCTACATATCTTTTTAAGGTAACAATTAACATCGTTTCCATGATTGTGTGGTTCTCATATTGTAATAATTTTTTAGATGAACTGATGATGCTTTCAAAACTCGAAAGCGAAACGTCTTCAAAATAGATAAAGTAGCCTATCAACTTTGTCTTTTGTCTTTTATTTCTCCACCTAGAGACCGATATAAGAACCCACCACTCGTCTGAGTGATCCTTATATATATATTATATATATATTATATATATATATATATATATAATATATATATAATATATATATATTATATATATATTATATATTGGATTGACGGTTCGTACTCCTTTTTCCGATATATATATATATATATATATATATATATATATATATAATTAGCAATTAACGATCGAAAACATATAAAAATTATTATCGTAAATCAAAATTTTGACTTAGTTAATGTACAATTTTTCCAATTTTTAAATATACAAAACTCTGGATTCGTCTAGAGACACATAACTCATACGATTTTGTCTACAATCTTGTACTAAGCTATCAGTATAATTTTAGAGACTCTGAATACTTCAGTTAGGTTCTTCTTCTTGATTTATACTATATACATCTACTTTGCTGTTGCCAGCCTTGGCATGCGTAGCCATATGCCTCTTAAAATAATACTCATCAGCAAAACTTCTTCCACATACCTCACATTTGTGTCGGATTCCCATATGCCTATTTTTATAATGGTTTCTGTATTCCCGCACAGTGTAAAATCCTTTATTGCACTCTTCGCATCTATGTCTAAATTGGTCCAGATGGCGCAGCATGTGCTCTTTGACGTTCTTTTCGTACATGAATGTCCTAAAGCAGAAGTAACAGATAGCACGGTCTTGGTGGGAAGCTACGTAATGATCGTAAAAGTCGCTGTTTGAGACAAATGTGTCTGAACAAACATCACAGTTATTTATATAGCACTTGCCTTTTTCGATATGTCGGAAAAAACCGTATCTATTGATAAACAACTGTTCGCATCTTAGGCACTTATAATGATCAATTTCTATTTCACTGTTGGCTTCAACATATAGATAGTTGGTGGCTGAAAAATCTGGAACGTCGTGTCGTTTTTTTGGCTGTGGATTCCGTGGCCTTGTTACACCTGTCGAATTACTTAAATTGATCGATTCTGGTACACTAGACACAATATGTTCTGGTCCACTAAGTAAAGGCACATCATCTTTGCTTTCTTCGTAGCCGTCTTCGTCAGGATCAAACCTATTTACTACATAACCGTGTTCTAGATTTACAATTTTCAAGGTTTCTCTAATGGACTTTCCGACAACCGAACCTACCGTAGGTTGATCTCCTGCTACAACCACTTCAGTCTCGCAATCAATATCATCATTACCATCAAGAACATACATTAACTCATTTGTACCATTTCCAGCTGCTTCTACAACAACTTCTTCACTGTCTTCGTAATTAAGAGAAATAGTTTCTTGTTGATCATCGACGGGCGTATGGGTATCGAAGTGTTGGTATAAGGGACCAACTTCTTTAAATTTTTTGAGACATTTACAACATTGATACATGTTGTCTATTAGCTGCGTGGAGTGCTCCACAAAGGCGCGCTTGTCAGGAAATAATGCGGAACACATGCCGCATTGTATTTGATACTCCTCGTCTGACCTGGAAAGAGAGTTTATTATATATCGTTTTTACAAATTGCTGAAAATAAGAAAAATGACTGAAACGATTGACAAAAATAATGAATCAATAAGATGTTTTTCATAAAACACTCATCAATTGTTAAGTATTAAAAACATGTAAAAATAAATTTATAATTTGATATAGTTTGGTTCATTTAACTTGATATTTACATGAGCAAAATAGTGCGCACTATGGAAACGAATATGACGTCGATCTAGATCATTTTGAGGAATTGTTCATTATCAATATTTTCCTAAAGTTCATTTACACGAAAAGCGTTGAACATAGCCGAGCAAGGAATACAACGAGCAGGTGCTTCTTTTGTATGGAGAAAACGTTTAAGTATCTCTTCTCCAGGACGTGTTTCTCGAACACTGGTGGCCGAATGGACTGTTGTTCTACTAAGAAGATCAGTAGAGTGGAGTAGAAAGGACATAGTGTTGGTAAAACAGCTCTTTTCGAATTTTGTTTTGGATTAATATGCATTTTTGTATGAGAAACTCGTTGAGAAGAGCTGTGGCTGTTACCCCGCTATGGACAGTTATAATTGTGCAATGCTTTTAGAAAATCAAAGGAAACCAATCTCTATCTCTTGAAGGGTAAAGCTCGAAATGTGTTACTTAGTTAGTAGTGGTCAGGTAGTTCGTTGCTGGCAAAGGTCAGCTATTTGACAGGAAGTTAAGTAAGTTTTTTTGGATTGGCTGATGAATGCATTGTGCAGGGACGTGTTTAGATTAGATACGAATAGATGTTGCTCAGAGAGAAGTCACTCACATATGCACTCCATCACATATGTCTCACAATATTCTCATTTAGTCTCATCTCTGTGACATCTTCCATCACTACATCTCTTCATTTCTTTCTTGGTCTTCCTCTCTTTTTTGCCCTCAAGTACTCTTAAATAGTATATTACCTTACATTCTTTTTAGACGTCCGAGCCATTCTAGTGTACGTTTTTTTCACCATTTTTGATATTGTAGAGTAAGCATTCAATTAGTCAGTCTCAGATTGATTTCAGTTTCTTCCTTACATGTCTTATCAATAATAGTACCTAAGTACATATATTCATCCACCTTGTCGAATTCTATAACCTATTTAACCCACTAACCCTTAAAACTTTTTCTAGAACTATATTGAATGGCAAGGTAGACAACGGGTCTCCTTGGCGAACACCTTCACTTCGAATTCTTCTGAGACTGTACCGTTGCATTTCACAGCTCAAATGGTTTGTCTAATTGTCATTTTTACCAGTCTTACTATTTTTTCTTAATACTATTGTATTCATAGCAATTGATTTGGATTTGTTTTAGCATTAAAAATTTTATTGCTTGTTGAGCTTTCCTTGCTAAATCATCCCTGGTATTCTCCTAGATTCTTCTCTACATATATTTCTAATTATTTTTTTAATTAGTATGGCGAGCACTTTATAGATTACCTCTAACAAGGATTACCACTTTATATATTCCTCTATAATTGGCGCATTCAGCTCTATGCCCTTTTTTGTGTAAAGGAATTATAATGGACTTGTTCCACTATTGAGACATTTCTTCGGCATCCCAGACTTCTAGTATTAGCTCACTAAGTTGGTTTATTAAAGCCTCTCCTCCATATTTTAATTTCAATTGGTTCTCTTGCGGGCTTTGTTATTTTTTCTATTACTATTTTAGGTTTAGGTAAAAACTCACTCTGTATATTTACGATTTCATCAACTGAGAACTAAAGTCGGTATATTCATTTTGTACATGCAGCGAATTTGTTAATCATCTGGCATTAATTTCAGACACTAGTCATCGTCAGATAAGATTCTGCAGCATTCTATTTCAATAACCTGTTCCAATGATTCAATTGCTTTGCTTTTTTATATAAAAACTATATTTAAAACAAATATAAATTTTCTATTCAGGTTTATTATTTAAATTATTATTACAAAACTAACAAAATTTGCCATAACAACGAATAAACTAAAAACACTCTATCATTGCAATATTTAACAAATATATATTGAGGACGCTCAAGTAACTTCTAGAAGGCTTTCTCTGATTAAAAAAAAGCATAAAAATATTCATTTCTTCTCTAAGAAAAGAAAAATTTATTTGTTATAGTTAGTTATTCCTGAATTAAAGAAACTAAAACTGTTTTCTTGTCGCATGATATTAAGCCACAATAGTTGATGACATACGAACATAGGAGGTGATATGGTTATATGGTATCCCATATCAGTACGTAAAGGACGTTCACAAATATAGTACCTTCTTTATCCTAACGGACCCTTCAAATGATCCTAAAGTAATAAAAATTCACCTTATAAATTTTCTATTGCTGAAAATTTCTTATGAAAATTTCTTCTATTTCTGAAAAGTTATCAGGACCGAGTGAAATTCTAATAACTTTTAATAATCTGAACTTGGTAAACTATTTAAAATTTATAATCTTCATCTTCTTGTTGTAGTTCCTTCTCCTATCGGAGGTTGCTATCATCACAACTATCCGTACCTTATTGGCGGCTGCTCTAAAAAGACCTACTAAGCTGCAAATATACCACTCTCTAAGGTTTCTTAGCCAGGAAATTCTTCGTAATTCCTATGGATATTTTACCCTTGATTTTACCTTGCATTATGAGCCTTAATATCTCATATTTCGCACCTCTGGTAATGTGGCCTAAATATTCCAGCTTTCTTGTTTTGATGTGCTTTATGACCTCGCAATCCTTTTGTAGCATTCTTAAGACTTCTGCATTTGTAACTCGTTGGGTCCATGGTATTTTCAAAATCCTATAGCACCACATCTCAAATGATTAAAACTTCTTTATATTATCCACTTTTAGTGTCCAGCTTTCCATTCCATACAATAAAGTCGAGAAAACGTAGCATCTTCGTGTTAGTTAACACCCATCTGATATCCTCAGATCCAGAGGAAGGTCTGGATTGACAAACATTGTTTTCATTTTATAATCTTCACTACCTAGTTATTAGAGTTAATTTTGGGGTTTTCAGGTAATTAGTTTTTAAGGGAAATATAGCGTCCGTGGAATTGTGATAAAGATAACACAGATAACTCTTGTTGAACCTGCCGTTGGAAATTGCCATTTAGAAGAGACTGCTCCCATCTGTCATTTAATGGAAAAGAAATAGTAATTTCCTTTTACTTGTAAAAATGCAGCTATAGAAGAATAATTAATTAATTTTCATTCTTATTTAAATCAAATTACAATATACAACCATCATAGTTGTTTCAATTTGTCCCACAAATTTGTTGATATTGATTCATACTTAATTAATAGGTCTTGGTTTGACATCCACATTCACGTTTTCCATAACTTTCTTTTCTATATACCTTTTCTCACATAAAGAAGTCTTTATGTATCTATATTTGTAAAGTAAGGAGGTCGAGTTAAGTTCCACAGCACTTGACCCATTGTGCATCCTCTCAGGGATCTGTCGTGGACAAGTCATTAGGACAAGGTGGACAAGTCACTAGGAGACTATTATAGTAGGAGATTATTATAGTTTTTCCGGCTATACCTTTTTGGGTTATCTCTTTTGCGGCTATGGAGGTACCAGCCAGTTCTGTCTGAACTACGTTGGCATTTTTGACCATACCCCACTTTATTCTTAGGTTCAGTGATCTGGATATATCACGCATCCTAAGCCTTCTTCCATTTTGGAGTCATTTGTGTATATGCAAAAGGCACTTGTCACGTTTGTCTCCCTATTTAGTAGGTTTTGTCAAAGGCAAACTTTGATTTAATTGAGTCGTAGCCTGTCTGTAGCAGGGGTAGCGTGTCCAGCTCTCCCCACCAGAATCGAGTTCCCTATTATTCCATTCCTACATCAAGTCATAAGAGCAGTCGCATCATTGTCACCAGCGCCACCTCTTTGACATATATGTCTAGAGGCGTGATGCCATTGCAGCAGTTGGTGTTGTTTTCATGGCACCTTTTATATTTAGACAAGTCATCCGATAAATAAGGTTTAGATTGTTAATCGCTGTTGCCTGTAGCACGTTTGGTACCCAAGCAATAGCTCCGTAAGTTAGCATTGGCCTAATGAAAGCAGTGTAGACCCAGGCGATCACCCTGGGCGAAAAGCCCCAGGTGCATCCAATGCCCAAGTTTGAGTTCCATGTTAACTTCCTTTCAAGGGTAATACCAAAGTACTTCACCTCGTCAGAGAAGTTTAGACTCTAGTTAACCTTGTCAGTTTGCTGGTTCTAAACGTTGGACAAAGTTATAACATTAAAATTTACCATGATTGTTTTTGCAACATTTGCAACATTTTACCATATGTTTGTGTTGTTTTAAAGTGAAAATATACTTTTCAGGTTTTTCACTGATGATGCTCCAACTCGACCGAAAATTTTTGAAAGTTTTGTAATCCTTTTGGATAAATTTTAAATATTTTTAGTAAAATATACCATTATAAGTGATGGATTCCACCGTTTCTTGATCGAAATTCATTTAATATAAATATTAAATACTTTCAAAACTTTCACACAAATTTATTATAAATTCTTATCACTACAGCTGTTTTGGCAGAGTACCTTTCTCGAATGGTAATCTCGTTTGGTGATCTCGTTTGGTATGCGTTTACACTTTATAGTTTTTAACGTAATAGGTTGAGGAGAATGTTTTTCTGTTATTGAAAGCCCTTTTATGTTATGCTATTCGTTTGTTAAAATTTCTACCAGTTTGACCGATGTAAGTTTTTGGGCAGTCGCCACATTTAAGTTTGTATACACCACTGTGTAAGTGCTTTTTATTTTGGCTATTGTTGTTTTTAATATATAATATGCTAAGTTGTTGTTTGTTCTAAACGCTGGTATCACTCCTTTCTTTATTATGTGTTTGGCTATTTTTGTTGATATTTTGCTTGTATATGTAATCGAGCACAAGGTACTTGGTTTTTTCTCTGGTCCAAAATTATTCAGAAGTTAGGCCACTATATTTGTGAATATACCTCACAAAGAATGACAAACGATAG